CTCCCTGTTTCCTTTCCATTATCCTGGTTCCTGTAGTTATGTCTGGTTTCATACTCATTTATCAGAGTCTGGTTCTAGGATCCACAGATGAGGGAGAACATATGTCAATTTTTTTTCTGAGTCTCTGTTACTTCACTTTAGTATAGCAGTTTCTAGTTTCATCCATTTACCTGCAATTTTCGTGATTTCATATTTCTTTACTGCTGAGCAAAACTCCATCATATAAATGAACCACATTTTCATTATCTACTCGTCAACTAAGGGACACAGGTTGCTACCATCTCTTAGCTATTGTGAAAAGAGCAGCAACAAACATGGGTGTACAGGTGTCTCTGCAATAGGATGAGTTCTTTGGGTATATGCCAAGGAGTGGTATAACTGGGTCAAATGGTAGGTTCATTTGTAGTTTTTAAAGAGTTCTCCACACTGCTTTCCATAGGGGTTGGACAAATTTGCATCCCCACCAGCAATGAATGAGTGTTCCCCTTTCCCCACATCCTCTCCAATATTTGGTATCATTTGTTCTCTTGATCTTAGCCAATCTGACTGGGGTAAGATGAAATCTTAAAGTGGTTTTAATTTGCTTTTCGCTAATTATTAGTGATGTTGAACATCTTTTAAGACGTCTCATAGCCATCTTTACTTTTTCCTTTGAGAACTCTCTGCTCAGCTCCTTAGCCCATCTTCTAATTGGGTTACTTCATGTATTGATTCTCTGTTTTTTGAGTTCATTGCATATTTTGGATATCAAACCTCTGTCAGATGTGTCACTGGTGAAGATTTTCTCCCATTCTGTGGGTTTTCTCTTCACTTCGCTGGTTGCCTCCTTTGATGTACAGAAGCTTTTTAGTTTAATGAGGTCCCATTTGTTGATTCTTGACCTTGTTTCCTTAGCAATTGATGTCTGGTTTAGAAAATCTTTTCCTACACCTGTATTTTGTAGGTTTTCCCCAATGTTTTCTTCTAACATTTTCAGAGTTTCAGGCTTTACATTGAGGTCTTTGATCCA